AGAAAGAAATTAGCTGGATGACTAAAAACATATATAGAAAAAATTAGCCGGGCATGGTGGCGCATGCCTGAAGTCCCAGCTACTCGGGAGGGTGAGGCAGAAGGATCGCTTGAGCTCAGGAATTTGAGGTTGCTGTGAGCTAGGCTGATGCCATGGCACTCTAGCCCAGCAACAGAGTGAGACTCTGTCTCAAAAAAATGTTTTTACTGCATTAAACATTAAGTGTACAGTTGGTAGTATTAAGTATATTGACATTGTTGTACAACCCATGTCTAGAACTTTTTCATCCTGCAAAACTGAAACTCTATACCCATTAAATAAATGCCTATTCCACCACCATCACTCCAACCTCTGGTAATCAACCTTCCACTTTATTTCTTCAAATTTGAATACTCTAAATACCTCATATTAAATGGAATCATATAGTATTTGTCTTTTGTAACTGGCTTATTTCACTTAGAATAATGTCCTCTAGGAGCGTCCATGTTATAGCATGTGTCAGGATTTCCTTCCTTTTTAAGGCTGAATAACATTCTATTTTTGTATAGACTACATTTTGTTTACCCATTGAGGGACACTGGGCTTGCTTTTACCTCTTGGCTTTTGTGAATAGTGCTGCTATAAAAATGGGTGTACAGCTTTGAAAATTTTTAATATTATTTTCATATGTTTGGCTTACATATCGTCAAAACAACATAAACATATCCAATATTTGTTGATGACTTACTTGATACCATGTTCTGTGCTACATGTTTCACACATAAAACTTTCACACATTTCTCATAACACCTCATTTTACAGTTAAAGAAACTGAGATTCAAACTTTTTAAACGGGGAAAAAAAAAAAATAAAGAAACTGAGATGCAGAATGATTGAGTTATTTGCCCATAATCACACACAAGGCTAGTAAAGTGTTATAAGTGGGATGGTGCCCAGGCCCATGTGTGCTCACAATACATCCTGATCACTAAGAGCAGACATTTTTGTCTTTATATATTTATATTTATGTTTATGTTTATCCTTATAGCCCCTAGTTTTGGAATCCAGTGGATGCTCAGTAAAAATCCTTGACCAACCACAGAAGGAACAATATAAGCAAGAGCCTCTCTTTTTGGCAAAATAATGAATCCTGTTCACACAGGCATGCCAAACTCACTGACAGCCCCATAGCTGAGTGCCGATAGAGCACTCAGATAGAAAGCAGGAACCCAAACTGGAACCTGCAGTCCATACCCATCCAGAAGGGCTCCAGGACCTTGCCCCTCTCCCCTCACTCACCCAGTGGTTGGTGAAGTTCCGGGTGAGAATGGCAGGAGCAAAGGAGCGGGCAGGATTCATGCCTGCACCAGTATAATGCATCTGCAAAAGACATAGTTATAACTGAAACACCCCCTACTCCACTCTAGCTTCTCTCCCCATAATCCACATTGCCCCTGAGAGCCGGCATCTTGTCTCCAGCCAGCAGCAAATGGGGAGGCACAATCTGCGTCACTCTCCAGGGGTTCCCACAATGGGGTGAGGGCACGGATGCCCCATCTGGAGACAGACTATGGAGCCATAGGCAAAGCCCACATCTGCCATGATGCATGACCTTGGGGTCAAGGAGGACTAGATATATTGGTCCATGAGAGGGATAAGACAGGGTTGGTTCCTCTGTGCCAATACAGAGTGAGGTGGGTAATGTCCATGTTTGACAATGGCATGGGCAAGAAGAATCCTTAAAAGTTGGGAAAGGTTTGGAGGCCCTAGAATCCTTGAATGATACGTTGCTCCCCTCTCCTGCTTACCCCAAAGAGGTGCCCCAGGGTGAGGGAGAAGCCAACAGCCAGCGCCACGGAGCCCAGGCGGCCATTCCGCCTCTCGTCGTACGTGGCAAAGATGCAGAGCACGAACTGGAGCGTCAGGAAGATCTCCACCATTGTGGCCTGGCCCACGCTCACCCCAGGGTGCAACTGGGCAAAGGAAGAAGAAGGGAGGCAGCTCGTTAGGGCCGCCACAGTGTTACCTCCTCAAGGCTTCCCAGGCAGGGATCCCCTTATGGCATCAGTTCCCTGGAGAGGAAGGATAATACAACATCCTTCATAGTAACTGCATTTGTATCTTAATTTCTCCTAAAAATACTCCTCCAGGGTGGAAATGATTGCACCCACTTACATGGATGAGAAAACTGAGGCCCTGTAAAGCAAAATAAGTTTTCTCAAGAACTTGCAAGCAGTTGGAAGGAAAATTGAAAACCAAATTCAGTTTTCTTTTTTTTGAGACAGAGTCTCACTCTCTTGCCCAGGCGAGAGTGCCGTGGCATCAGCCTAGCTCACGGCAACCTCAAACTCCTGGGCTCAAGCAATCCTCCTGCCTCAGCCTCCCGAGTAGCTGGGACTACAGGCATGTGCCATCATGCCCAGATAATTTTTTCTATATATTTTTAGTTGGCCAATTAATTTCTTTCTATTTTTAGTAGAGACAGGGTCTCGCTCTTGCTCAGGCTAGTTTCAAACTCCCGACCTTGAGCGATCCTCCTGCCTCGGCCTCCCAGAATGCTAGGATTACAGGCGTGAGCCACTGCGCCCAGCCCCAAATTCAGTTTTCTTGGTTCTCAATCCAGGGCCCTGTGCCTTCCTTCCACCTCCAAACCACCTATCAATCCTCCCCACCCTAACTCACACACACACACACACACACACACACACACACACACACACACATGTGTACATGCACACACACAAGCAGACATACATACACACACACTGTCCCAGAGCCCAGAGGAGCTGATTCACCTAAGCCAGGTAGGAGTCAAAGCAACAGAGAGTCAGGACACCAGATTCCCCTAGCCCCTCTCAGCTGACCATTACCGTGTTGAGTGCTAGGTTTCCTCGGACGGCAGACGGGGTAACACTATACAGCACAGCAGCCCCTGCCACAGCTCCCAGGAGCTGGGCTAACATATAGCAGAAGGCACGGAGCAGGGACATCTGGGAGCCCACAAGGAAGGCAAAAGTGACTGCAGGATTGACGTGGGCTCCACTGATGTGGCCCACAGCCTGCACCAGTGTAGCCAGGGCGAGGCCAAAGGCCAGAGCCACCTGCAGAACATGCAGGGGTCCAGGAGCCCAACGCAGTGAGGCCCCCAGTCCAAAGAAGACATAGAAGAGGGTGGCAAAGAACTCAGCAAATATGGCCCTCCAGAAGGAGGTTGACCGCAGTTCCCACATGGCAGGGGGGATGGGCACGGTGCCTGGGTCCCTGCTACCCCCCTGGCCTGGTCTGTGTGGACAGTCCCCTTTATAGAGGACTCTTAATCCCTGGGAGGAGCAGGCTGGGGTAATTGGCCCAGCCTCTTAACCCCTTCACAGCTGTGGAGGCCAGGACCCATTCTCATACATCTGACAAAGCTTCTGGATTTTCCTTTCCCTCCTCAACTGGGAGTTGAATCAGAGAGCCATGGGGGTGATAGTGGGGTTGAAGTCAGAGCTGGAGAGACTCTGAGAGGGAGGGATCAAGAACAGTAGGACTAGAAGAGTCTGCCTTTCTATTTGTGTCAAACTTCAGGTTCACAGTGCTGAATGACATCTATTTTAGAACATTCCTCAACTCTCTTTGGAAGGTCTCTCAAGCTGAGCTCATTCATGAGGTATGGGGCTGAGCTCCTGGGGGCCTCAGGCTCCTGAGTCTAGGGGGGGGTAAAGGTGGGGGTGGGGGTAAGGAGTGGGGCTCAGCAGGAAAGTTGGATAACTGAAGAGAATTCTTTAGTTCCCTGGGATTAAATGGCCTTCTCCCATTGGCTAGTTTGGGCTGGAATCTGTGGACCCTGCAGCTCTGGGATAGAATAGTTCTGCTGCGTATGGCTTTCTCTGAGCCCGAGTTCCCTATCCCCAACCCATGACAGCACCTCCCTTTTCAAACCCTCAGCCTGGCCTTTTAAACCACAGAGACTGACAGAGAGAAGATACTATCTTCCATGCATAGACTAGGAGTCGGGTTGGGGGGCTAAGGAGGGAAGAGTAACTAGTATTTAAACCTCAGAATCAGCTTATACTCCACCTTTCCTAGCTCACAAAGACATAGCAGGAAGAGTGAAAGGAAGGGATGTTATGGCTGAGAAGCAATGAGAGGGTCTAATATCCTCTAATATAGCCACGATCAGGGCATTGGAGTCCTACACTTTGAAACCCAGGGACAGGTCAAGGATCTTTCCCAGATCTGACCCAGGGATTCAGACCTGGGAAAGGAAGCTGGTCAAGGAGAGAGAAAAAGACAATATGGAGAACAAAAGCTTGGAGGAAAAGGTTCAGTTGTGCTCAAGCTTGGTGAGGGACTTGAAACCTAGGGGTCCAGGGTATGGTGATGGAGAAGGTGCAGCGGAACACACTGATAGGTTCCACCATCTCTACATCATCACTCAGGCCACGGAGGAAAACAGAAATTCTAAGGTGAAGTCTGCAAGGATGGTGCCCAGCCTGGGTCCCATACGGTACACCTGTGGGGAGAGCAGAGGACCACAGATCAGGGCCTGTGCTTCTCTTCTCCTCCAATATCCAGCTTGGGGATGGATAGGAAGAGAGTTACAGCAAAAGTGAAGCATCCATCTAACCCATTCACTGGCAGGAAGAGTTGCTGAGAATATGTCAGAAGACACCTAAGGGGATTCAAATCCTGATTTCATAGGATAGAAACAGTCCATCAGAGGTCTTTGGAGTCTCTTGCCTTCTAGCAGCCCCACTAATTTCCTGACTTTCAGGTTCTGTAACCCTCGATGCATCTCACCTAGTGATGCTCCAAGATCTCTGTCACCACTGCTAGCCCCAGGGATTGTGCATGGTTCATGCTGCCTCCAGAAAATGTCCCCTGGACAGGAGAGGGAGAGAGTAGTACATCATGGTGTTAATATCTTCAGCAACAGATACTGAGGTGGAGATATGGTTGAGGATACAAAGTGACAGAACCACTTACGACTGCCAGTGGGAACGTAAATTGAGATAATTACTTTGGAACTGAGGTGGGAACCTGCCGCCTTAAAGCCACATGTGGCCTTCTAGGTCCTTAAGTGTGGCCCTTTAACTTAATCCAAATTTTATAGAACAAATCCTTTTGTTTTTACTAATATATTTTTGTTCATCTTTTATATTTTTATTTTATTTTTAAAATGAGCATATTTGAAATACCAAAGAATAACATAAGTTTCAAAAAAATAATCTCCCAGATTGACTGGCACAGTTAGAACATTAGTAAGCCCTAAGGACTAAATTAACCGCAGTTTACCTCTGGATTTAGCTACAACTTCCCCTGACTGACTAGTGCCACTACCGGATGAGGCTGGTTGGTGAGAGTTTATGGATGGTCAAGTACACCAGTCTGTTATCAGCTTTTTGACAATGGTGTACTGTGTTTCTGTTTGAAGTGGAATTTTTTTTTTTTTTCTGAGACAGAGTCTTGCTTTGTTGCCTAGGGTTGAGTTTCGTGGCATCAGCCTAGCTTACAGCAACCTCAAACTTCTGGGTTCAAGCAATCCTCCTGCCTCACCTTCCCGAGTTGCTAGGACTACAGGCGTTCACCACCAGCATGCCCAGCTAATTTTTTCTATTTTTAGTAGAGATGGGTCTCATTCTTGCTCAGGCTGGTCTCAAACTCCTGAGCTCAAGCGATTCTCACACCTGGCCTCCCAGAGTGCCAGGATTATAGGCATGAGCCACCATGTCCACTTTCAACAGTATTTTTTAATTCTGTCTGCTTAATAGCCAATCATGTCAAAGAAGACCAAGAAAACACTGAAGGAAGAAAACAGATTTTATTTATTTATTTTTTTTTTGAGACAGAGTCTCACTTTGTTGCCTAGGCTAGAGTGAGTGCCGTGGTATCAGCCTAGCTTACAGCAACCTCAATCTCCTGGGCTCAGGCGATCCTACTGCCTCAGCCTCCTGAGTAGCTGGGACTAAAGGCATGCACCACCATGCCCAGCTAATTTTTTGTATATATATTTTTAGCTGGTCAATTAATTTTTTTCTATTTTTGGTAGAGACGAGGTCTCAGGCTGGTTTCGAACTCCTGACCTCGAGCAATCTGCCCGCCTCGGTCTCCCAGAATGCTAGGATTACAGGCGGGAGCCACCATGCCAGGCCGAAAACAGATTTTTTAATGAGGATTGGGAATTGCAATGTTATCTTGTTTCTGGTAAAGATAAGATGATTTGCTTGCTTGGTGATACTGCAGTATCAACATTAAAGAAATTCAATGCTCATCAGCATTTTAACACTCATAAGGACTACAAATCTTTTAAATTAGAGGGAGGTCTTAAAGGTTGAATTTCAGAAATTAAAAGATGAAAAACAAAAGCAAAGACAATTCTTTCAAGCTGTAATAAGTTTTGGAAATAATGCCACCAAAGCAACTTATAAAGTAGCTTATAGGCTGGGCGCAGTGGCTCACGCCTGTAATCCTAGCACTCTGGGAGGCTGAGGCAGGCGGATTGCTCGAGGTCAGGAGTTCAAAACCAACATGAGCAAGAGCAAGACCCCATCTCTACTATAAATAGAAAGAAATTAATTGGCCAACTAATATATAGAAAAAATTAGCCGGGCATGGTGACGCATGCCTGTAGTCCCAGCTACTTGGGAGGCTGAGGCAGAAGGATTGCTTGAGCCCAGGAGTTTGAGGTTGCTGTGAGCTAGGCTGATGGCACGGCACTCACTCTAGCCTGGACAACAAAACGAGACTCTGTCTCAAAATAAATAAATAAATATAGTAGTTATTACACAGGCAGAAAAAGGAAAGCCATTCAGTGATGTAGAAATTGTGAAAGAATGCATTGTCAAAGTTGTAGGATGCTTAGACCCTGATAACCTTTCAAAGTACAAACAGTTTTCTCTTTCAAGAAGAACCATAACTGAGTGGCAGCATGAATTAGCCTTCAACTAACAGAAAATTTCATACAATACTTCAGAAGGAATATTATTTATTAAATCACTTTGGATGAACCAACTGATACTACTGATTTGTGCAGGCTTTGTATTAATATTGCATTTGGGTTTTTTTTTTTTTTTGAACAGAGTCTTGATTTGTTGCCCAGGCTAGAGTGAGTGCCGTGGCGGTCACCTACTCACAGCAACCTCAAACTCCCGGGCTCAAGCGTCTCCTGCCTCAGCCTCCCAGTAGCTAGGACTAACAGGCATGCGCCACCATGCCAGGCTAATTTTTTATATATTAGTTGCCAATTATTTTTCTTATTTTTATAGTAGAGCGGGTCTCGCTCTTGCTCAGGGTGGTTTCGAACTTCCTGAACTGGAGCAATCCGCTGCTACAGCTTGAGCCACCGTGCCTCTTCATTCGGTCTTAACCGAAGATTTTTTTGCTACAGGATTACTGGATTCTTGTGAACTGAACATGGGGAATAGATATTTCAACAACTTTCAAGTTTATGATAGTTGAACTGATTGGTAAATTTAGTGAATGTTTGTACAGACAGTGCACCTTTACATGTTTTTTACTTCAATTATAACAGATCCAAATGCTCTCATTCTTTTCATTGTATTCTTGCATCAGCAAATCTTGTGCTTTAAAGCTACTAATTTAAGTGACATTTTCAACAAGTATACTTATAAGTATTGTTAACTGTATTTGTGCAAATGCAACGGCATCATCAGTTCATAACAGGCTAATTAAAAGATGAAGTATTCAGTGGTGGATGTGCATATATTCTAAAGTGTGTTGGCTATCGCAGTACAGGTGTTAGCAAAATTATCTTTGTGAAATGGATGATTAAATTTTATGAAGAACATAATCGCAATGTGAATTATTGGAAGAAGATATTTATAGGAATGCAGCATTTCTGTGTGATATCATGTCAAATCAAAATGACTGAATATTTCTTTGCAAGGTAAACATAAGTCTGTATATGATATGTGGCAAAAATCCAAGCATTTCCAAAGAGCTATCTTTTTTCCAAAACTTCTTCAAAAGGACATTTCAGATGAACATTTTCCCTAGTTAGCAAGGTCATTGATGAGCAGGATGATAATGCAAATCATTGAAGAATATGCAGCTGTTATAGCCCTTTAATTGAGAATATAATAAAGATTCACTGACTTTGAGAATCATATCATCACACTCAAAGTAGCATTTTAGCCTCACCTAGTTGATATCACCAAGGCACCAAAGAACTACAGATGGAATGGATTGAGCTCTCAGTAGAATGATTTTTAATATCTGTTTGATACTAAGGAAGATCCGATTGAATTGGAAAATGCAGTAATACCTTATGTCTCCGACAACCTGCCGGAAAAAATGCCATCTTGCTTTTCAACCACTTATTGTGCAGAATCTACATCCTCATACCTAACCCTAAATCAGGATGCCCTTAAGTCACAAATGACTGATACCCATTTTAGAGGCTTCGCTGAATGACATGGACCCATGCTGCAACTATTCAATGCTTTCCACAAAACGCAGACACAGCAATGTCATTAAAAGGTTATTAACTTTACAATTATAACCAGTTTTCCATTTTTTTGGAAATATTAAGTACCATAGTTACGATCTTTATAAAATATGTACATTTTAAAGTATGTCTAATTGAAGTTCTTTTTTTTTTTTTTTTTTTTTTATTTTTTTTTGAGACAGGAGTCTCACTTTGTTGCCC